TTGGAGTGGGATAATTTTATATTTGAATTTTGAATCTTCATAGCCTGATATTGTTGACAATGGTAGGTCTTCAATATGATTTGATTGTCAACTTGCCTGACAAGATAATATTTTATTTCAACTTGATTTTCAAGTTGTTTCTAAAATATTATTTTCCTTGTCTACTTTGATGTTCCAACGTCTCTTTGCAATAAGTTCTTCTGATAGAATTTATTTCTAGGATAAGATCTTTTATCCATGCCTTCATAAATTTTTCACCGTTCTGATCATATCTTTAGGCAATTTGGATTCTTGTGACATGTGAGATGTACCAATATAAATTCTTTTCGAATTTATATAATTTTCTAATCTTTCTTCTTTGTCACATCTTGCTTGTTTGACTTGGCACTTCTTGCTTCTTTGACTTGAACATTGTGTTTTTCTGATTTGGTCGCATTGTGCTCTTTTCGCATCTTGCTTCTTTGACTTTGGCACATTGTGCTTGTTTGACTTGAGGGATTGTGTTTCTTTTGAAAGATTGTGCTTCTTCTTGAAACATTGTGCTCCTTCTTTGAAATCGGGCTTATAAAAATTAAGTCCTTAGGGGGGATCGATCTCAAGTGTGATCATTATATGTAAGGACTTCTACCATTTCGCCGTTAAGCTCATCCAATCTTGTTTTGCAACGACATTGTTTAGTACTTCAGTTCCGAATGAATACTTGTAGGACCAAAATTAATTCTCCCAATTAATTTTGTTCTTCATGTAGTAGACTTTCCTTTGTATACTGACTTGATATACTGAATTATGATGCTTATACTAAAGACCTAAAATCTAAGGGGATCTAAAATACATTTGGCTCATCAAAACTTTATTACAAAAATATTCCTATCAATTTCGTGTATGAGAGGTGAGAGGGTTCTAACTGCTTTCTAATCCCCTATTTATTGAGTTAGGGATCCTAGTAAAGCCTACTTTCTTTTATTCCTAATAGATATATAGGTCTAGGATTCCTAATTATAATCTGAATAGTAAAATGTCTACTTTCTTTATTCCTAACAGATATATAGGTCTAGGATTCCTAATTAGAATCTGGATAGTAAAAGGTCTATTTTCTTTATTCTTAACAGGCTTAAGGTCTTTAATATAGACAAAGGTCCACGGTCTTTCGTGGGCCATATTAATTAATTAAGGGATCCTGACCGGATTAAATCCTTTTTAACTATTCTTTAACGGGATTAATTACATAATTAATCCGTGTTTGTAGGCCGTAACACGGGGTGTTACAGGGTGGGAAATCTGGCACACCGCTTATCATTGCCTGCCGAATTAGAACGCGTACATAATGTCTTCCATGTGTCTCAGCTAAAGAAGTACGTGCACGATGCTACTCACGTCCTTCAACCTGAAGTTGTATGTTTGGATGAGACATTAACCTATGAGGAAAGACCCGTTAGGATCTTAGATACCAAGACGAGGGAAACTCGTAGGAAGTTGGTGATAGGCATATTTTTACACTCATTTTTTATATACATCTTTATAATATTTTTGCATTAATTATTTGGAATTATTTAATAATTATTTCACTTTAGAATTTAATTAATTAATCAGTGTTTTATAATAATTATTAGTCAAACTCTTTAATTTAATTTAATATGAGTTTAGTCTTAATTAAGTCCATTAGTAATCTATTGTGGCCCAACTCTTAGCAAGAAATTAAAACAACACAAATTAATGTTTTTGTCTTCCCACCTACAGAACCTGCGCATGCAGCAGCGAATGATGCTCGGTCGGCCGATTCTGGCGCGAGAACAAGAGGAAGTATATATGATTTCATGGCTCAACGCAAAAGGTGGAAAATGGATGGTGGAGATTCATTTGAGTTTATTTTAGGAGTAGTATAAATAGTAGAAATTTTTCTATTGTAAAACGTTCATTCTTCCCTCCTCTATAGTATTCGTTGAAGTTGTTATCAATGTCCATTTGTGGCTAATTTCTAGTTGGTTTAGTGAATTGAAGCCCCGGAGTTCATAACGCTGTAAGGTTATTTATTTAACTTTATTATATATATGTTTTTATGCATTTTGAGTATTAAATATTCTTCTAAATTATTTGAATAGTTGTATCATTTAATTGCTAGGGAGGCCTACTAGTTATTAATTTGATATAATTATTTGCTATATTAGATAATGTTGTGCTAAAAATTATTCTAATATTCAGTAGCAACTGAGGTTAATTATTGACGGCTTAGTGATAATTGGACTCGGGTAGAATATTTTCCCAAGTTAAATGCAACCGCTTGTGCTTGTGTTATTTAGTTTGTCGGTTTTCCTAGTTCCTATTGCTGCTATTAAATTAAATCTATAGCGCTTGTCTTAGGTTATTTAGTAGTTAGGGGTAATTAAATCGCGTGTGCTTTAGTTACCTACAACTAAGGGAAAACGGAAATGAAATAATTTCACGACAAATATTCAATTGCATATTAATTACTTTATTAATCAATGATCAGTGTTAAATTCCGGTAGTGGATCTTTACTAACCAAGGTTTCTTATTATAAGTGTTTTCGATATATTATTTTCATTGCTTTATTCGTTCAGTTAAATTACTTGTTTATGTAAATTCTCTTTTAATTTATCTTTATTCTCGATATATTCCAAACCCCCCTTCCTTTAATTTGAGCACATATTTTAAACTAGTTACTCCTCGTGGGATCGATCCTTACTCCCGCTACTACGTTTGTAAGGTTTTAATTTGGGAGCCTACGACAGCTCACCAAATTTTGGCGCCGTTGCCAGGGAGCTTTTCTAGCTTATTTTGTGTTTATTTAATTATTTATTTGTTCATCTGTTTTTCTCGTTAATTTGTCCCATAAAAATTTAAAAAAAAAACATTTTCTTTCGTTACCTTTACATAATTGCTGCAATATATTTTCTTTTTGTTTATGCCTATAACTCGATCTGCTAATCAAAAAATCTTGCCGTATGATCCAGAAATTGAAAGAACTGTACGCAGGTGGAAGAAACAAGCTTTGAGGAAATTGGAGTTTAGTGATCTGGCTACCGACCCTCAACCTTCCAACAATTCTGATTCAGAAGGGGAACCCATGGCTCAAAATCGGACTTTAAAAGAGCTTGGAGCTCCAAATTTGGATCAGCAACCTTTATGCATCACTTTTCCCGCTCTAGATGCTAATGTACAATTCGAACTGAAATCTGGATTAATTCATCTTTTGCCTTCTTTTCATGGACTTGCAGGTGAAGATCCTCACAAGCACTTAAAGGAATTCCATGTGGTGTGTTCAAGTATGAAACCCACTGGGGTTACTGAAGAACAAATCAAGTTAAGAGCCTTTCCCTTTTCTTTGAAAGATTCAGCGAAGGATTGGCTATACTATCTACCTTCTGGGAGCATCACCACATGGAACAACTTGAAGACAATGTTCCTTGAAAAATATTTCCCAGCTTCAAGGGCGGCCAACATTAGAAAGGAAATATGTGGTATACGGCAAAACAATGGAGAGTCATTGTATGAATATTGGGAGCGTTTCAAAAAGTTATGTGCAAGCTGCCCACACCATCAAATCAGTGATCAATTACTCATTCAATACTTTTATGAAGGACTTTTTTCGACTGATAGGAGCATGATTGATGCCGCGAGCGGTGGTGCTTTAGTTGACAAGACACCGGACGCTGCGAGAACTCTAATTGCAAACATGACTGCAAATTCTCAACAATTTGGCAATAGGCTTGTCCAACCGTCTAAGCAAGTGAATGAGGTAAATATTTCTGCTCTTGAGCAACAAATTACTGGTTTAACTACTCTTGTTCGTCAATTAGCTGTCGGCAATGTGCAATCTGTAAAAGCATGCGGAATTTGCTCGGTAGTTGGGCACCAAACTGATGCCTGCCCAACTCTTCAAGAAGAACCTATTGAACAAGTTAACATGGCTGGAGGTTTTCCTGGACAACCTCAAGGTAAGTATGATCCGTTTTCTAATAAATATAATCCTGGATGGAGGGATCACCCAAACCTTAGTTATGGGAACTCACAAGGAAACCAATTTGTTCAGAATCGTCCCAATTTTCAGCAGTATAGACAACCATTTCCTTCCAAACAACAACCAGTCCAAAGCTCTAGCTCAGGTATGAATTTAGAAGAAATTGTTAAAACCCTTGCTACTAACACTTTACAGTTTCAGCAGGAAACACAACAATCTTTCTATATATTAAAGTCATATAGCCATAACCAATCAAATTGCTATATTTTCCCGCCAAAGTGAAACTACGTAGTTTTGATCATTGATAGTTTAACATTTGCTAAATAATATAAACGGTAGCGTTTAAGGTCTGACAGCCGTATTCTTTGGGTAAAACGTTAGGTTATTATTACTTTTTTTATCGGAATTGCTCAAACCCTTTTATTATTACTTGTTTATCGGAAGTTGCTCAAACCCTTTCATATCGGTAGAAGCAGATTTTTTTTCATACATACATTACACAATTACTGAAGAAATATTAATGATTAGTGCAATTGTCTGAGGATGACTGCACTACTGCTGCGGAATAGGGCGGTAGTGGAGGGTAACCAAGTCGGATTTGCGCGATAGATGCCAGAATGGAGATCATGGTGTGACTCGCCGTTGGCAATGGTATGGTTTCAATTCCCAAATCTATCATTTTTTTTTGAAAGAAAATCTACCATTTCATTTATTTGATTTACATGTGATGATGCAATTGTGTGAGCTGATTTGTGAGTTGTTGCTTTGTGTGTTGCGACTGGCAGAGGGTCGAGGCCGAATGGTGTGAAGGGGAAGTTGGAAATTGATATGTGAAAGCCATTGATATATAAAATATGGATAGAGATTTGTAGGATGCTACGATTAATAGAGAAACTTGGTTGCAATGTGCTGCAAGAGGAAACACACCTCTGCAAATAGAGGTGAAATATAGACAGGATTATTTATGTTATGTATGCATATTACAAATGATATGAAGAAGAGAATGTACCTGTCTGCAAATAGGTAGACTTCCCAATCTCCCAATCACACAAATGATGTATTGTACGATTTTATTCCTTACACTGCTATTTTGAGCCTGCGAAACAGTGTACCTAGCTAAAAATTCAAATGAAACGCGTTAATTTCAAAAAAAGAATATAGAAAATATGCAAAACTGCTATCTTATGTTTGTTTTTGTGTTATTTGATATGTTAATAATATCAGTGTACTGATATTAACAGTGTATTACCACACAAATGAGATATTGTTTAATTTTTTTTCCTTGCACTGCTATTTTGAGCCTGCTAAGCACTGTACCTAGCCAAAAAATTTAACATGGGAAGCATTAATTAGTCCATTACACACTAAAAGGTTAGATCAGTTAGGAGCTATAAAAATGTCTCTAGGTAAATTGTTTCTTATATTTTTAATTTCTTTCATTTGTACAATAACTATATATATATATATATATAGTTAACTAAGAGGAAATATTATAGATTAAGTTAGATGACATGGAAATAGTGCACTATGCAGCACGAAAATTAAATGATCTAATTTCTAAGATGATTGAAGCGGATGGAGATGATGACTCTGATTTGGTGATAGCAAATTATTTTTATCTTTTATATTTATGATATTTATGTTATTTGTTTGTTTTAGCATTTCTCTTGGATTTTATTATATTTATAGGTAAAATAGAGGCAAACTGCCCAGAAGGCTCACTGCATTGCCTGGAACTTTGAACAGACGGAAAGTGTGTAGCAACCTCTTCATTTGGACCAAACAAATGGCAGAGGTATTCAGAGGAGGCAGGTGAATTTTTTTTCTTATATTTTTTTAAAATAAAAGAACTATGAACGAAGTTTGTTTTAATGCGCTATGGTTACTAGAAATAAATTCCCCAGTGACACTAGCTGTGACCCATGAAGCAATTCCAATAAGTAGAATTCAGGTTTCTTGGATGCTTGATCTTTAGATTTGTATGCTTTAGATTATGTATACATTACATAATTTTTTTGGTTCTTTAGTTTTGTCAAAAATATTTATTTAAAAAAATATTAAAATTTGCTATAAATTAAAAAAAAAAAAAAATTATAGAGGGGAGAAAGGAAGAACACAGTAGCTAACAAAGGTAATTCCGCAAATTCATTAACCTGTATTTTGGTTAGAGTCTTTCTATGTAAACAGATTACTAACTCTACCCTGATTAGTCGCTAATATAAACGGATTTCAGGGTCATTGAAAACTAACAACATAGAGATCACGGACCAGGGGGAAATCAATTTTAAAAAATCAGAAACATAGTAACTGTATCTCATTTGAATATTTTTTAGGGGACTAGAAAATGCATTTCAATGACCGAAAATAATAATTCCTAAATTTTAGATGCTGTACCTAATTTTATTGAAAAAATAAGTTAAGAAATGGTTAAAGTTTGCAGAATAGACTAAATAACAAATACAACACATTATTAGATATGAAATTCGAAAAAAAAACACTTGGAGAAGACTAAGAGATGACGTTATTACTGTAGTCGTTCTGTTTTGCAGATTAGGGTTGATCCACTGATGACCACTGAAATTCCAGTTCTACGTTTTCAGATCTTGAAGCCTTACAAATTAAGAATCGTTGCAATCTTGATTCCGAGAACCACAGCAAACAAGTTAGGATTTTTTAAGCGAAAGAAGAATGGAGAAGATACTCTACTTAGAGGGCGAGAGCAGTAGACACAAAGAGAGCAAATCGGAACATTTCTTATGTTTTTTTTTTTAATAACATTACACGTTGATGGATTACAATTTGATATATATATATATATATATATGTATGTATGTATATTAATGTATATATTTTAAATGTATTTAGATTAATATTGTTCATATTTTTTTAACATTTGAGCATTCTAAATTTCTAATTTTAGATAATGAGATCATTGTTTCTTATACTTATTTGTACTCTTTTATATAAAAAAAAAATATGTTCAATCTTTACTACTATCTAACTAAATTAATTAGAACTAACGATTTAATTTTGAAAAAAAAACTAACGATTTAATAAGTTTTTTTTTTTAAAAAAAAAATCGTTTTTAGGTAATGCCAACTTATTATTAGCTACCACTTCAATATTTGAAAAGAGGTTTCAAAAAATAAAAGAATAACTAATTGTTATCATTGTTGTGCATTGGCACCACAAAAAACTCACTCTAATTTTCTCTCTTATCTTTTCTTATCCATATCACCAAAGTTATTATAAAAAGAGGTGTAAAATGCACTAATGAGAATGCTCTTATAAGTCAAACAAAAGAGAGTACAAGTATACATAAATAGACCAATTGTAAATGGTTTTGAAGTGCGTAAAAACACCATCGGTGAAAAAGGAAGCATATTACTGGATCAGCTGTCATAGGGAGGAAAAGGAAGTACCCTCATGATACCAAAGGTTCCAACTCTTAATCCTTTGTCAATATTAGTAAAGTTATGTATAATTTTGTACTTTTCAAAGATATTATAGCGAAAAATATGTATTAGTAGTCCAAAATATGTTGATTTTACTGTACAACATAAAGTCATAATCCAAAAAATTAAAAAAAAAAAAAACTCATATTTACTTTTTTTTTTTGTTTTTAAATATGAAAGTTAATAACATTAATATTTTTAAAAACATAACATGATTTTAATATTTCGGAATTGATAGTCCGTGCATCGCACGAGTGAAATACTAGTTTCAACAAGAAACAAGAGCTAGTATTCAAGAAACGAAGGCTAGTATTCAGAACTTGGAAAGGCAGATGGGTCAACTAGCGACTACGGTAAGTCGGTTGGAATCACAGAGTTCTGGCAAACTACCCTCGCAAACGGTGGTTAATCCAAGAGAAAATGCAAGTGCAATTGTGTTGAGAAGTGGTAAGGAAATTGAAGGGCCTGCAGTTGCTACCCCATCAGTGAACCAAGAAAAAGAGGGAACTAACAACAATGAAAAATCTCAAGGTAAGTCTCCCAACCCTACTGATTATGAACCAGTTCCCCGATTCCCCCAAGCTTTGTCAGAATCTATAAAAGGAACGAAAGATGAAGAGTTATATGAAACTTTCAAAAATTGTGAAGTGAATATTCCGCTACTTGATGCAATAAAACAAGTTCCTAGATATGCTAAGTTCTTAAAGGAGTTGTGTGCAACAAAAAGGAAACAAAGGTCATCAAAGGGTGAGAAAGTGCTAATGGGCAAGAATGTTTCTGCTGTGATTCAAAGCAAGCTTCCTGAAAAATGCAAGGATCCAGGTATGTTTACTATTCCCTGTATGATAGGCGATACTAAACTTGAGAAAGCCATGTTAGACTTAGGAGCATCTATTAATGTTATGCCATATTCTGTGTATGCGTCTTTAAAACTTGGACCTTTGAATAAAACTAGTGTAGTTATCCAATTGGCCGATAGGTCTAATGCATATCCTAGGGGTGTAATTGAAGATGTATTGTTGCAAGTTAATAATTTAATCTTCCCTACTGATTTCTATGTGCTAGATATGGAAAATAATGATCATTCTGCACCTATTCTGTTAGGAAGACCATTTCTAAAAACTGCAAAAACAAAAATTGATATTCACAGTGGTACACTTACTATGGAATTTGATGGTAATGTTGTTACATTCAATATTTATGATGCTATGAAATACCTGGGGGTGATAACTCCGCTTATTCTGTTGATATTATTGATTCATTGGTTGAAGAAGTTTTTGAATTTAATGGTGAAGATAAATTAGAAGTTGTTATTTGTGAACACCTTGAAAAAGGAAATAATGAGTTTTCTCTGAGTGCCAATTTACATGAAGTTATTGCATCATTGAATCATTGTCCTAAACTGCGCCAACAAAATAATGTTTCTTATATGGCTTTACCTGCTTCTAGTGAAAAATTGTTACCATTTGTTGTGCAAGCACCGATCCCCGCATTGAAACCCCTTCCTGAACACCTTAAATATGCTTTTTTAGGAGAAAATAAAACATTGCCAGTCATAATTTCAACTAAACTGTCTGCAATAGAAGAGGAAAAACTTGTCCAAGTGCTAAAAGAACACAAAACTGCCATTGGGTGGACAATTGCAGACATCAAAGGGATAAGTCCATCCACTTGCATGCACCGAATCCTTCTAGATGAAGGAGCAGAACCATCTCGTCAACCAAAAAGAAGGCTAAACTCGCCCATGATGGAAGTAGTCAAGGAAGAGGTCATCAAACTCCTTGGGGCTGGGATAATCTATCCAATTTTAGACAGCAAATGGGTTAGCCCAACTCAAGTGGTTCCTAAGAAAACAGGGATCACGGTTGTCAAAAACCAAAATGATGAACTGGTCCCCACTCGTATTCAAAATGGGTGGCGAGTTTGTATAGATTATAGGAAGTTGAATGCTGTTACAAGAAAAGATCACTTCCCCTTACCGTTTATTGACCAAATGTTAGAAAGGTTAGCTGGTCGCTCTTATTTTTGTTTTCTTGATGGTTATTCAGGTTATTTCCAGATTGCAATTGCTCCGGAAGACCAGGAAAAAACGACTTTTACATGTCCCTTCGGCACTTTTGCATATTGACGCATGCCGTTTGGCCTCTGTAATGCCCCGGGTACCTTTCAAAGGTGTATGGTTAGTATATTTTCTGATTATGTAGGGCATATGATTGAAGTTTTCATGGATGATTTTACAGTTTATGGTGACTCTTTTGATACCTGCTTACATAACCTTTCACTTATTTTGAAAATATGTATAAAGAGTAATCTTGTGTTAAATTCTGAAAAATGTCATTTTATGGTTGAACAAGGTAATGTCTTAGGGCATGTTATTTCGTCTAGTGGGATTGAGGTTGATAAAGTCAAGGTTGATATTATTGAATCTCTGTCGTATCCCACTAATGTGCGGGAAGTCCGCTCTTTTCTTGGACATGCAGGTTTTTATCGAAGGTTTATCAAAGACTTCTCGAAAATAGCCTTACCTTTAAGCAAACTGTTGCAGAAAGAGACATCCTTTGAGTTTGACAAAGAGTGTAAAGGAGCATTTGACGAATTGAAAGAGTTGTTAACATCTGCGCCGATCATTCAGCCACCTAACTAGGACTACCCATTTGAGATTATGTGTGATGCAAGTGATCACGCAGTTGGGGCTGTGTTGGGCCAAAAGATCGGGAAATCTTCCCACGTTATTTATTATGCTTCTAGGACTTTAAATGATGCTCAGAAAAACTATTCTACTACAGAGAAAGAACTTTTAGCCATTGTTTTTGCTTTAGAAAAATTTAGGTCTTATTTGCTGGGCACAAAAGTTATAGTTTATTCTGACCATGCAGCTCTTCGCTACTTGATGCAAAAGCAGGAAGCCAAACCACGATTAATAAGATGGATACTCCTCTTAAGTGAGTTTGATGTGGAGATCAAAGATAAGAAGGGGTCAGAAAATCTTGTGGCCGATCATTTGAGTCGGTTGGTACACATTAAACCGGAACCTCCACTGCGAGAAGCATTCCCTGATGAACACCTATTAGCTGCAACTGTGATTTTACCTTGGTATGCTAACATAGTCAACTTTTTGGTTGCTAACAAATTTCCTTTTGATTCCTCTAAGGCACAGAAAGATAAAATCAGGAGTAATGCCAAGTACTATGTATGGGATGAACCGTACCTTTGGAAACATTGTGCTGACCAAGTGGTAAGGCAGTGTGTACCTGATGATGAAATTGCTTCAATCCTTACCTTTTGTCATTCTTATGCTTGTGGAGGCCACTTTGGTGCTAAGAGAACAGCAAGGAAGGTGTTGGAGTCTGGGTTTTATTGGCCAACTTTGTTTAAAGATTCATACTCATTTTGCAAGTGTTGTGATGCTTGTCAAAAGTCAGGTAATTTATCCCGAAGAAATGAAATGCCACAAACTCCGGTCCTATTTTGTGAGGTCTTTGATGTTTGGGGCATTGATTTTATGGGCCCATTTCCTGTGTCTTTTGGTTTTGTCTATATTTTACTTGCGGTTGATTATGTTTTGAAGTGGGTGGAAGCTAAAGCCACCAGGACTGATGACTCTAAAGCTGTTGCAGATTTTATCAAAACTAACATCATTTCCAGATTTGGCATTCCGAGGGCTATAATAAGTGATCAGGGTACTCACTTTTGTAATCGCACCATCGAAGCTTTGCTTAAAAAGTATCGTGTCACCCATAAGGTGTCAACTGCCTACCACCTGCAGACTAACGGGCAAGCAGAGGTGTCCAACCGAGAGGTAAAGTCAATCCTTGAGAAAACAGTCAACCCAAACAGGAAGGATTGGAGTTTGCGATTAGATGATGCATTGTGGGCATACAGAACCGCATACAAAACACCTATTGGTATGTCCCCTTATCGCATTGTGTTTGGGAAAGCTTGTCACCTCCCCGTTGAGTTGGAACACAAAGCTTATTGGGCTGTCAAGAGCTTTAATATGAACATTGATGAAAGTGGCCTACACCGGAAGTTGCAACTTTCTGAGTTGGAGGAGATTCGCAATGAGGCCTACGAGAATTCAAGAATCTACAAAGAAAAGACGAAAGCATTTCATGACAAGATGCTTTTGAGAAAGGAATTTTCAATTGGACAAAAGGTCCTACTCTTCCAGTCACGTCTTCGGCTATTCCCAGGTAAGTTACGTTCTCGATGGGTTGGTCCATTTATTATCACTAATATTTTTCCTCATGGTGCGATAG